TTTTTCCAAAAGAACTACATGGATTACTACTTAGGAGAAAGGGAGAGAATTTATAATTGACTAGGTGTGTGAAACTACATCAATAACATAGCCCCTATACGGGATGACCCTTATAGCAATAGTTGAGTTAAAGAAAGAATTACAAGAACTTTTAGATCAAGGTTTTATTTGGATGTGTGTTTCTTTATAGGTGTTTCAATGTTGTTTGTAAAGAAAAAAGATAGTTCCATGTAACTTTGCATAGATTATCAAAAGTTAAATCAAGTGACAATTAAGAAAAGGTACCCTATACCCAAAATGATGATTTTTTTTTTTTTATCAATTATAAAGTGTTAAAAGTGTTTTCTAAATTGACTTAAGATCAAGTTGCTATCAATTTGAGAATTAGGGGTGAGGTTGTTATGTAGGTAGCATTTAGAACTAGGTATGGATATTATGAGTTCCTGCTACTTCTTGGTTATGCCTTTTGGGCTAACAAATGCCCTAGCAACATTTATGGATCTCATCATAGAGTTTTAGAACCTTATCTAGATAGATTGTTATAGTCTTTATATATGTTGTCCTTACTTACTCCTTGATGAGAAAAGTCATGAAAAGCACTAACGCCCTTGTATTGCAAAGGTTGAGGGAAGAACTATATGCCAAATTAGATAAATGTGAGTTTTGGTTAACTCAACTAGGTTTCTAAGGGAATATAGTTACTGTGGAGGGAATTTTTGTTGACCCAATAAAATTAAAGCCATAGCAAGTTGGGATTGACCAATTAATATTTACGAAGTTAGAATCCAATGTTTTGAAAACAAAACCAAAGATCAAACCATTTTATCTTTTGGTTTGAGTGGTTTGACTTGTTTAACAGTCAAAAACTTAGTCTAACTATATTAGCTTTTAATATAATAAATTTATAATAAATATATAATTAGTTTTTTAAGGTGACCAATTGAATGGTTTCTGGGTTTGTATCAATTTGAATAGTTTTATCAATTTTGTATTATTAAACTACCTTACTGGTTCTAAGCACTTACTTGACTCGTTATTGCTCTCGGAAACCAATTTGACTAGTTTAATCCTTTGGTTTAGTCTATTTTCAAAACATTATTAGAATCTTGGTTTAGTTGATTATTGTTACAACTCAAATTTTCACCTAAAATTATATTTAAAAATCTTTTAGTCTTAAAAAAATATTTGTAATTAGATTTATTTTCTATGTTTCAGGGACGTGATCGTGAAATTGAAAATGAAGGGCTTGTTTAAATTAGTAAGAAGAAAATACCGAAATTGGACTTAAATGCAGGAGTAATCAAGATGAAGGATCAAATGTCAAAATTGTAAGGAGTTGGTGATTTAGACCCCAAAATTAAATCCAAATACATACCCATTTCAGCTAAGTCCATAATTAGCCCATTTTCGGCCCATTCACTAAAACTGACTCAAGCCCCTTTTATATTTTGAAAACCCTCCCCCCTTTTCACTTCAAAACCGGATATTCTGCACTTCTTCTTCCCCCGTTCTGCCCCTAGCCCCCGTCCGTTCCTCAAAACCCAGCCCTTCTCATATCCACGGCCCCAGATACCTCTAATCGGACAAAAAACAACAGGACACAAGCGACGTGGAGACGCCTCTGCAAACCATGGAATTGGTCTCCTCTTGCGGATCCGTGCAAATCAAGGGCAAGGCATGTTTTTTTCGACAACCCTCAGGTCCGTCCGTCCGTTTCTTTATATTTTACCATCTAATGGCCAGGAATGAAGGGAAAGAAAAGGAACGGTGATGATAAACTAAGGGAGAAAGGCCTGAGCATGGATTTCTAATCATTGTATTTCTATTTTGATGAGAGGATCAATGAAAATCACCAAAGCATGATTTACATTTACTCTGATCGTTATGTGCGTTTAATTTTAATTTAATTGGTTCCGAAATCTGGTTGCTGTTGATTTTTTTTTTCTTTTCTTTTCTTGGGTGATTGATTTGTTGTTTGGGAATTTGCTGTTGGAGGATTTTCTGCATGATTTATGTTGAATAAACTTGAATTTTTCGAGGTTAGGACCAATCCAACATTTTGGGTTTCTATTGCAACCCTTATAATTGTTTGGCGT